TTATTTACTGATGTTTGAATGACTGCTACTTTGGATGGTCCACATGGAAGGCCAACATGTCCCAATAAGGTTGTGACATCACTAGGGGGTGGGAATTGATAAGAATTTAGCTATTTTGATGATCAATTCTGTCTATCAGTCTGATTACTTACCAATCTCTTATCAATATAATTGGGCGAGGAATGAAATAATCTAAATGACGTCTCACACTATTTTTCCCATTATTGTTCCATGATAATACAAAAGATGCTTCTGTACAGTGCAGTGGATATGGACCAAATGTTATATCCTGATAATGATATATATCCTGTTTCCGGATGCAGTATTTTTCTGGAATATTGGGTTGGAATCATGGGCAGTGAGATGGTGGCCCCTTTAAGGTCCCTGAAAGTGTCAAAATGACCTTTAGTGCATAATGTGGAGTTTCTAACTGACCATCTTCTGCCATGGCATAAAAAGGAGTCAAATCGAGTCAATTTCATTACATAGTGCCGATCATCACCAAAGTCACCTCAGGGCACTTTGTAGATGGAGCAGGGCTAGAACCACAATCCTGCCACATTAAGAAAATAGCTGAACACTGCATGAGCAAGCAGGGAAAAACGCCTTTCAAATATCTATATATATTTTGAGTGAGGGAAAATTTTCCATTAACCTGCCATGCATGTTTTGGGAATGCGGGAGGAAACCCACGCAGGCACGGGGAGAATGTGCATACTCCACACAGGAAGGCCGGAGCCGGAATCGAACCTTGCACCTCTGCATTGTGAGGCAGACGTGCTCAGCAATCGACTATTGTGCTGCACTATAATATAGACATGTTGTAAAAAAAAAAAAAAAAAAAGAAAAAAGGAAAGAAAAGAGAAGAAAAGGAGAACTTTACAAACAGTTGATGGAATTTGTTTTGGTGTTGTGGCCTCACAGTGATGGATGTGTACGTACCAATGCACCTTGATCAGGTAAGTTCATGCTAACTATTGGGTTTAGAAAGGAATAATGTCAAGGCTTGGAAAAATGGGAATTTTCGGATGTGGAAACTTTCTATTGGAATGTCTGGGAAGAAAGCAGGAATTTACAAAACTGAAGGTTTTTGCATAATACTAACTAGATTTTATTTTGCTTTTTTATTTGCGTGTTGAATGGGATGTTTTTTTGGGGGGGAGAAGGAATATTTTGAACAAGACTTTCTTGGTATTTTTGGGTTGGAATGAGTCACAGTCAACTCTAAATTCAAGTGTTTGTTCTTCAATGAAATCATTGATATTTCAATTCAATATTTAAAACTTGGTAAATAAAGTTCTACTTGGAAATAAATCTGTTGAAATGTCACGATCTTTAATTACTCGGATGTCTACTTGCAACAACACAAACTGTTTATATTTATGCATTAGTATGGTACCTTTCCATTTAATTAATATTAATTGCTAATTCATTCCCATGGAAACATTTAAATTGGGATGTTTCCAGAATTTCCCATTTTATTAATATACAAGAAACTTACCGGTAATCGAAAAAAAAATGGGAATTGTCCACCCCTGTGTCACTGACACACACATTTTACATTTCAAAGCAAAACATGCGAAGGAGAGCAATGCATTATTAAAAACACTTATTAGAAGGGATTATCTAAAGCAGTTGCACTTGTAGACTCCCACCATATCCTTACGAAATGTTTAGAAATGTGCTTATCTTTCAATAGTGTCCACGTACGAAGGGGCCGATAAGCCCAGAGGCTGACGTTTAAGAAATACTTGTATAAATGTAAAACAGGCTGATGCTGAAATAACGTCGCCCTTCGGGGGTACGGGGCGTTTTGAAACAGAATCAGGCAAAGCAAATTAACGGGGTGTATGTCTTTACCCCCCCTCCCCTTGGCTGCATGGCCTATCATCTATCTCTGGACGATGGTGGGGTTGTCATGTCGACCGGCCCACAAGTTACTATGACAACAGCTCACCAGGAAGCACTTGCTCAGGAGGGAGGTTATTGCCTCCTTGGGGATGGAGGAAGGACATTGGAGCGGGTGTATGTTTATACAGTATGAATATATATATATATATATATATATACAACCCTTAACCCTTCTTTCCGTATTTAGCACTTTTTGTTATTTACGTTTTGAACTCCGCTGGAATGTTTCAGCATTGGTCAGTGTGATATATATATATATATATATATAAAGTGTGTATGTGCGTGTGTGTGTGTGTGTGTGTGTGTGAAGTGAGTGTTTAAGTGGATAGTGCAAATTGCTTCAAATCGCAGAAAACACGTGTAAAAGTACACATGTGGCCGACTTTGCGAAGCAGTTCAAGAGTAATATGTAGTCGATTTTGTTAACCAAATAGGATAATTGCCCATGTAATTTTTAACTTAAAAATAAAATACCAAAGTTTTTTTTTTTTTTTTTACACACACACACACACACAGTGTGTGTGTGTGTGTGTGTGTGTGTTGTTTTATATGTGAGGCTAGGCAAAGATATGGTTGAATGGAGTGAGAGGTCTCCAGTACACATTGGGGGTCATGCCCACAGGCTAAAATGGGGGCAGGGGCGACAATAAGAAGCATCAGATGGGCCCCTCTATTTTGCTCAACATTTTGTCATATAAACGTCAGTGAGTCAAGTTTGGAATTATGCCTGAGGTGTGTGTGTGTGTGGGGGGGTGGAGCTCCCAGTGCTTAATTGCCCCATTAGCGCTGCCAGGGTAAATTGGTGGAAGGGCTAAGTGTATATTATATTGAAAACAACAACAACCCCTTCCATTCATTCACCTGAGGGTACAGGCAAAGTGGCCGTCATGCAACAGTCAATGTAGATTTACTTGACAAAACATATTTACATGAAATTTCTCTGTGCCCATCTTTTTTCAAGCACGAGTTCAAATAAACTGTAAATGCAATGCTGCATTTGGAGATCTCATGCGCCGAAAACCCGCCAACCCAAAACAAATAAATGAACTGTGAGTGCGTATGCATCAGATAAGACAACTAAAAATGCAACTGCAGATTTTCAAATAGAAATGGAAATGTAATAACCTGCGGCACGATCATTCAAAGGATCATTGCAAAAAAGCAACACGGTCTAATATTGAAGCATAGAAGTATAACTTTAAGACCATTTGATTATTTTTTTCATGGTAGGACTAAATTACCTTTTTTTGTCGGGGTGGTTTTGAGCCGAATTCACAATGTTGATTATTTACTGCATAAAATTATTTCCAGGGTACACTCACCGTTGCAATCCAGATTTTTTTCTATTTTCTGGTAACATTCAGTATGTTTCTTAAAATTGTTACTATGATATGTTATATTTTAATCACCATTACCTGTTTCACTTGATGGGCGAGGAGAAATCACATGACGCTTATTTAATAAACCGCCCTCCCCCTTGAGGCCTCCATTTTGACTTATGATTACCAAATATGGTTGAATGCCACAGAAAGGATGACCACAGCACATCGTCAATGAATGACAAGAAATGAAAAACATGAAAAACAGGTCAATAAATATATGGCTTATGGTTACACACGCGTGCGCGCGCGCACACACACACACACACACACACACACACACACACACACACACACACACACACACACACACAATAACTTGCCTTTTTATTTCAATGAACTCAATGACCACCAGAACAACAAGAGGTGAAAAAAACCCTGCATATTGGACATAAAAACAAGCCGTCTGATTTATGATTATGATATCTGCAGGCATGTGCCAGGCACACAATCACTTTGAGGCTTTTTCAAATCATAAAACAATTATTGGATGAACAATAAACGTGGGTCAAGTCTCACCGAGCACGGTTTTAATTGGCCAACGGATCAATTCCCTAAATACCTAATGGCTTCATAATAAATGAAAGGGTGGAAAAAAAAACCCATCTAATTGTGAGTGTAGAGGAAAATATTAATATTCATGTATGACTCATTGTGTGAGATGACAGTAACCTTATTTGTTTCAGCTTTGTTTTTTTATTTGCTTCAAGATACTTTTTTTTCCTCATTGTACAATTGTTAAGGGTGATGTCAGCTTTAGTAAAAATATAAGGTTTGGTTAGAAGGAGAAAAAATATTTATAAATGTTTAATTCTCATTCACTTTTCAGCACATGCACAATGGCCATATTGCACATCCAGTGTTTAAAATCACAATAGTATTATCATAACAATAGAGGCGATGTGCGAGGATGGCCAGAGAAGGCAAAAAAAGGTCATTTGTGATGACAGACATATGGATGGGCTTTTAGACTTAAAAAACAAAACAAAAACAAAATAGAAGAGCATATAAAACAAAAACATGGACACTTGGAGCTCCACCTTACATGATGAGTAAACAAAACAAACAGAAAATCGATGCAGGATAGATGTTGACTTTTATTTTCATACATTAAAATCATATTTTTCTTCAAATGTGCTCAATTTTAAAGGCTTGTTATATGCACAAGCATGACAGGCAGACTCGTAATCATATTTTTGTCGTTCAAGCTGCGGTTTATTTGGAGGCCAATGTCACAATAAATGCGAACACAAAAAGAGTAAAACATTATGGCTGGAGGTGAGAGAGAGTCATATTTTGTAGCATTACAACTATCCCCCTAAAAATCAATTTCAATGAACTGAAATATAAAATTATACTCAATTTCATCACATGTAACCCCCTCCCTTTTTAAAAAGATTGTTTCAATTATTTGAGCAATTTATTTATAACATGTCCCTAGACGAATTCGAGCGTATGAACACTGCCTGCATTGTTATGATTCCTAAATACAATTCAAGGTTTTATCAGCAAATGTCGGGACTTTCTCCGAACATTTTCCCCTCGTCCGTGTTTCCAGCTCTCTCTCTCTCTCTCTCTCTCTCTCTCTCTCTCTCTCTCTCCCCCTCTCTCGGAATCCTATTGATCCAAATCGTCTAATTAGCGGCGTCTGCGCAATTACGCGCATGCGCAGCGTGCGCCATCTCAGCCATTTTTGAAGCAAACTAATTAGCAAGAATAAAGAGCCAAGTGTTTCCCCCCCAACATCGTGATCAGAACTCATTCTACCTCTGGAGCTCGCCCAGAACCCCTCCATCCTGGCTCCCCCACCCGACCCCACGCCCACCCAGTCTGCACCCCGTCTTGGATGTTTACTCCAGCCTGCCTTGCCGTGCCTGCACTTAGCTTTAATTACATTGTTTGCTAAACAACTTGGAAGGCGGCTGCGCTCGCTTGCTCGTCCCCCCCTCATCTGTCCTTCCTCCTTCCTCCGCTTCCTTCGCCCGCACGAGATCGTGCACAAACAACAACAACAACATCAACAACAGCAAAAAAAAAAGGAATGCGTGCTAGTTTTTTCGGACTACTACTGCGACGACACCCTCAAGCCCGCGGAGACTGGTGCCGGAGCCGCTGCAGAAATGTAAGAGTTCCGTTTGTTTAGGGTGGAGGGATGAGGTTTGGGGGGGGGGGGGCACCAAATGTGCACGGAATAACGCTTTAGTTGTTTTTGCTGGTCACCTGTTAACGTTTGTGTGATGTTAGTGTAAACAAAAGCCACAAGAGTGGTGTGGTGAGTGTGGTGTGCCGCTTGTAAACACACACACGCCGGGAGAAAACTCTTCAAGTTAACCCCCCCCACGCCCCACCGACACCACCATTTCTGCCTGGAGCTGTGCAAGCAATGCTGCCCCACACAAAACTCGTATTTTGTGCATCTCTGTTTTTTTCTCTTACCTGTAAAGCTCTACTGAGTCCACCGAGGCATAGGTTGTCCGAAATCAGATCCACTTGTAATGTCCACTGTGGAAGCAAAGGACAAAATATATTCACACCTATGTCGACCCAAACTACTGTCCTGCTTTCTTTCTTGCCTCTTACACACTCACACAGGCAGTCACACGCACACTCAAGACGCTGTTCTTTGATCTCCATTTGATCTGCCATATAAAAACACATTCGTGTTTTGAAAATCCTATCCATAATCTGTCATCATATAAACTCCGTGTAATGTTGAATTTTATCTTATTTTAATTAAAATCGGATCAGCCTGTTTACCTGTGTGTATACATTGCACCTTAAAGTCTGTTCTGTTAAAAATTCAAAACTAGTCTGGCATTATAAAACAAATCAAAAAAAAAAAAAAAAGAAAAAAACAATGTAATGGTGAATTCCAGGTCTTTTCATTAGATTCGTCTTGGTTTGTACACACAACAGGATGTGCACACACAATCTAGCATCGTGTTTCACAGACACGCGCATAATGTCACTTATGCACACACATATTCATATTTTAAATATCCATGAAATCGCCCGTCATCGCATAAACACGGGAGTTACAATGAATTTCAGTTCCTGACTCTGATTGGCTTGTGTACGCTAAAAGATGTGCATTATTTTACACAAACACACACACACACACACACACACTCATTCTTAAAACTGTTAAATCATCTAAATTAGCAATACAAATGTTTTTTTTCATCCAAAAACATACCGTAGTTTGTCATAACAGACGGAATGTAATGGTGACTTTGAGGTACTTAAATTAGAATCTTACACACACACACACACACACACACACACACACACACACATACACACCCCACCAATGTGTGTTATATGCACACACAATCACGTTGTTTTTTTCGTTTTTTTTTTTTTTTTAAAAATAAAATCAGCCTGTCAACACAAAAAGTGAATGTAGCGTCGATCTCCAAGTTATTTCAGAATTTGATGAACACACACATGCACACACACTACTACACTTTTATGGCTGTCTACCATACAAATACACAATCCTTTAGAACAGCAGTTATTATTGCAGAAAATGTGAATTTCAGGTCCTTAGATTGGTTTGTACACATGCAGAGCACTTTTTTAAGTTTGGAGACACAATTGTGTTTTAAAATTTACAAATAGCATGTACAATAATGGGGCATTGTAGGTGTTTGTAAATGTGATTTTGACATCTGAAGGTGGATGTACGCACACTAGCATTCTACACATTGGCACTCACGCACGTTAAATGCCGGTTTCCCGTATTTGTGATCAATAGCCAGCCAGGAATAGTCGTAAAAATAGTTGCATCTCTGATGGTCCGAGGCTATCGACCGCAGTGTAAATGAAAATCTTTATCAGATTAGAGTCTATTCTCAGCTGTTGCGGGTTGCCGACGGGCCTTAAAAGACCCCGTGGCAGTATCCTCCAGAAAATTTCAAAGACCACTGCAGTGGACAGGGGTCTGTGGCCTGTGACACAAACATCGTGCATTAAAGCGCTATCAGAGTGTGGATGTGGGCCATATATCTTGAAGCTGCAGAGGCAGAGAGAGGAGGCGGGGTGTTGAGGAACACCCACTCTGGGTGTTGTAGGAGGAGGGGTTTGGTCGGTTGGGGCCAGAAGGTGCAAGGTGAATTAGGGTAGCTTCTTCATTTCTAATAAAGGTCAGTAATTAAACTGTGGGACAGTGAGAGACAGATGCATCTATCTTCTCTGGCATACACAGCAGAGGCGCGCTTCTTTTTTGTATTTATGTTAGAGTTATTAGGGCTGTAATGTTTCATCGAAAATCTATAGAAAATGCTCAAAATATGATTCGATGTAAAATAAAATTAGATAAATTGAAATTTTGATCACAAAAGGATATGTGATGATAACAGTCAAATCTGTTGTATTTATTTTCATGTTTAGTTCTGGCACTAACAAAACACTGATGAGACAAAAATGTAGTTAAGTAAAACTCTGTGTTCATTCTCAAGGTTTTTTTTGGAAGGTTACAAAAAGTTAGTTTGTAACAAGAACAAAATGCATGTATTAATATCAAAACGTAGTTTGGCTATAAAATGAATCAGTCATTTTGTTAAAACAAAAATCGAATCAAAATGGGGAACTGGAACTTGGGTGAATCGTCACATCTCTAATATTTATTATTATTGTTTTGATAAATACTGGCTATCTTATTTTGTGCAGTCAACGTGCAGTCTTGAACATAGAACCTAATAATCTTGAAAGAAGAGTATTGCCCAAAATAAAGAAATAAATATCTACAAATATACAATTCAGTATTTTAATTTTGTTTTTCCGCTACATTAGTGTTGTGGACACCAAGCCACGTGGCATACATCCAAGTCAACATTGGCATCCGCTATAATGCTCCAGTCCATGCGTATATGTTGTGTTCTGAACTAAAACCAAGCACAAATGTCCTTGGTATTGTCTACAGGACTCCCCCTTCTGTTTGTTTGGCTAATTAGAGCTCCCTCGCCCCACCTTCTAGTGTGTGTGGCCAAAGATGCAGGATGAAACAATGATTTTAAAGCGGCGCTTTTATCCACTTTTTATCTCAGTGTGGCAATTTAGCCGAAGCCCTTTAGCTCCATAGCGTTCAGTTCTTTATTTAATCCGATCCCCCGAGGAATATTATAGACCTCCTGTGTAGCCCATACCCGCATTCCTCCACCTAGTTTGGCGCTTACGCTATTGATTTTCCCATTAAGGGCTAACGCTAACCCCTGAGTAACCGGCCTGTGTGTTGCACACCCTGAAAGCTCTATTGAACAGACGCTATCCAAGGCCTTTTTAATCAATGGCCTCCGCTGTTATGCAATATGATTTACATGACTCATTTGTTTCATTTTCACCACTTTCTTCCTCTTGTCTCCGTCTTCCTCTCTCTTATGTCTAGGTGGGGTGGTGATGCGTGGCAGCTGTAGCCTCCGCCATGGACATTGGTGAGGGAGGGGGAGGGGATGGAGGGGGAGGAGAGGACAGAGATGCGGACCTCGATCCCCAGGCTTTATCTTGCCCTCTTCTGACCCCGGCGTTCATTCCCGAGCAGGGATTGGCCTCTCGTACCTCAGCCGGGGTCCCTGCCAAAGAGCCCTCCACCCCGCGTGAGAAGCGAGGTGAGACGGGCGTCAAGGGTTCCCGGGCTGGAGGAGAGACCCAGGTAGGGGGGCAGAAGGATGGGTGCCATCACACACGTCAAATGGATGGAGCGTGTCAAAAGCGGTGGACGAAGGGGATTTTCCAAGAGGAATATCCGTCAGGGCAAAATGGGGAGGGCCACGCTGGCACGGGAGCAAAGTCGGCAACAGGGGGTCTCCCGAAAGCCCTCAGCAGCCGAGGAGAAGAGGAGGAGGCCATCTCAAACCAAAGCCAAACTAAATCCAAATGTTCTTTATTACCTCAACAGAGCCAGCAAAGCGCTTCTTCCAGCACGGCAAAGGCCAGCGTCACGCTCAACAGCAAAACAGCCGAATCTCCAAAGTCCTGCCAGACTCCCCCCACTTCTCCCGAAGCCCCCCCTTTCCTTTCGACCTCTCCAAAGCACTTCACTTCTCCATCCTACTCTTCTTCCCTGCTGAGTGACACAGAAGCGAAAGACCTACCAGGAGATCAGGGCTGGATTTCTGGGTTTCCTCAGAGCTTTAAATCCCAGCAGTCGACTCTGGCTTTCCCATTGGCAGGTGTGGAGGGGGCCAGCGCGCCTGCCGAGAACGACGGCCCGGCAGGGGTTCCTCACTCTTCCATTTCTAATGGAGATGGTGCCAAAGCTCCAGAACCAAATGACAGCCATCTCGAGACGGACATGGACGACGAGCGAGACAATGAAGGAGAACAGAAAGAAGCTGTCCCCAAAAACCTCACGCAAGAGCTCTCCCCAAATTCACTGACGACTCACATGACTGTCATGCACTCACGCAATTCCTGCAAGACGCTGAAATGCCCCAAGTGTAACTGGCACTACAAGTCCCAGCATACACTGCAACTCCACATGAAAGAGAAACATCCTGAGACGGGCAGCCAGTGTGTGTGCGGCGCCTCCGGTGGGAAGTGCGTTTGTGGCAGTTCGATGCGGGGTGTGTGTGGCTACTGCAGTTCAGGGAAACCCCATCCCCGCTTGGCCCGGGGAGAAACCTATGCCTGTGGCTACAAGCCTTACCGCTGCGAGGTGTGCGACTACGCTACCTCGTCGAAAGGCAACCTCAGCATACACATGCAGTCAGATAAACACCTTAATAATGTGCAAAGCGGGGGACACGCCAACGGCCAGATGCACACTTTGCATGGTAGCAACAACGGTAGCAGCTCCTCCAACGGGGCCACGATGGATGAGCAGGCATACAAGCACCCGCTTCCGATTCCCACCTCTACCCCCCAGCCAGCCAAGCTCACGCCACCCGCGCACTCCCCTTCGCACGGCAAGCGCTGGCGGTGTGACGTCTGCGACTACGAGACGAGCATCGCCCGCAACCTGCGCATACACACCACCAGTGAGAAACACACGCATAACATGCTGAGGCTTCAGAGGGGTTACTACCTATCCCACTGCAGGAGCCTTGCTCCCCATCTGAAACACCTCCAGAACACGGGTAAGCCATTCATGAAACCCTGAGCCGTTGGTTTTCGTAAAATGAGTGAAACGCTCACAGTCCTTTCTCTATGTCAGGTGGGGAGCTATCCTTGAACATGAGACTGACGACGCAACAAGTCACGGAACAGCCCGTCACCCTCGGCTCAACACTGACCCCTTCACCGTCGCCTTCACCCTCTCCCCCGCCAGTCCTGTCTTTGTCTCCCGCTGAACCTCTGTCCCAGGGTGTCTTCCAATGCCTCATCTGCTCCTGCTTTTCTTCTGACAGCTTAGAGTCTGTGGAGCAGCACTTGAACGCCCCTCGCTCCCTGCCCCAGTCGGAATGGTGCTCCCTGGTCGCTGGCGGCTGCCACTGCAGACTGTGCGGCTACACCACCCCGCTGAGGGCTAACTTCTCCTTGCACTGCCAGACTGACAGGCACAGGACCCGCTATCAGCTTGCGGCTCATGTTCAAGAAGGGGGCGAGCGGGGTCAGGAAGGCGCTGCCTTAATAGCTAAGGGCAACCCTATCCAGCTCAGGTGCAACCTGTGCGAGTATGCCACGAGCAGTTTGGAGAAACTACAAGCACATTCCCGGAGTTCCCACCATGAGTCCAGCATCCGGGTTTACAGAGTAAGCAAAGACTCTTGAAAATGTCTTTCTTAAAGGGGAAGTCAACCCCAAAATGTTCTTTTCCAAGAATATGTTCGATGCAGCCCCACGAGTCTAAAGGCGGCATTCAGATGAATAGTGCGTCAGTGTTTTCTGTTTCCTGAAGCTGAGCCATGATTGATTGTGCCCTGAGTAACTGTGACATCATTTTCAGTCGACAGCAAGTGGCAAAATGGTCGCCCCGTGAGATGGCTAAAAATGGGTGGATTTTGCTGCTTAACTCATATTCCAACAACAATATTAATGGGGATGCTGTGTTTAGATTAGTCGAGGCGCGTAGAACATATTAATGTGAAGAACATTTTTGGGTTGACTTCCCCTTTAAAACTACAATATTTGAAACCGTCACTCTCTGACTCTTTGGTTTTGTCCACCTTCTAGTTCCTGCAGCAGTACGATGTCGAGGTCGACGGCGGTTCATGTCTTTTCCATTGTCTCCTATGCAACAATTCTTCTTCCTCCAAGCTTCAAGTTTTAAAACACAGTCAAACCCAAACCCATCAGCAGAGGGAGGGGCTGCTACAGCTGCAGCCAATGGGCGGAGAGGAACTGGCAGCAATTTTTACCATCAGAAAAAGCCCCAATGGGGTCGCAGGTGAGAATATGGACCATGGAAGCGTATTTGACATCCAGCTGCATCTGCTCACTGATACGAGAAACGAGGCCTGGGGATTAAGATAAAAAGTGAGAAAATGAGTAATGGCTGTTGCTGAGCTATTGATTCGGTAAATTGATCAGTCGATACACATCCTTGTTATATCACCGATCGCCCCTGTCGACAGCTAACTAGCACCTGCTAATCAATGAACCAATACAAATCCCCCGCGCAACGATGGGGGAGGCTAAGGTTGGTAATGAGAGTGAAATGTGCTGGATAACCCGCTGTCTTAGACATGTATCGTGGAGCGGTATCCCAGAGTCTGTACATTAATTTAACACTTTTGGAATACGTTCTGTTCTGTCTGTAATTTGTCTGAATGAAGATTTTTCAAGGCAAACTGATGTGTTCCAAATCCCAACCAGCTTTTCTCTACCATTGAAGAGAATCTAATGGTGAATCAATATGTGATCAAAAGGCTATCGAGGCAGCCCAAAAGAATGAAACGTGGTCCTTACAAGTCACTGTTTTCAATAAGGGGGCAGCTCCAAATTACAATAATATATAATTAGCCCGAGCATGAATACCTTAGTATGCATTGCATAATGATTGATCTATTATATTGTCGTCTCTCAGGAGAACTTAATGAAGATATGGAAAATTCTGGCGAGGCCACCACCTGTACTTTGGACAAAAGCAAAGACAACTTGGGTGAAAAAGAAAGTGGTACGGCCACCTATGAACATTTAATTGGATAACTGAATCATAATAGCCATTCGGAAAAAAAAGAAATATTGACATGTTCTGATGTTTCCAAAGAAGAAACGGTGGCGGAGGAGGTAGACAAGGGGGAGTCATTCAAGCGTCAAGCGTCTGGATGTGGAGAAATGGAAGACTCCAGCACAACCAAACGACCCCGAACACACCAGCCGAGCGAGAATCAGCAGGTCAGCAGTTAAAACCTCCAGAGACCAGAAACTAAATTTCAACCTTTGTCCTCACTTGACATTCTTCCCATTCTATCCTTTTTAGACTGTCCTGTGCCCTTTGTGCCAAGCTAAAATCTCATACGCGCACCTTCGGCCACATCTCACACATGTGCACAGTGTGGCGCAGGACTGTGTAGACAAGCTCATCAGCACAGTAAGTGGATGCAAAGTGTGCATTTGTTCTATTTGCGTTTGCCGGGGTTGCCGAAAGAAAATGAACAGGCAAAGAGAAGAAGGGGGATGGGGAAGAGTGATATGTAGGGAGACAATTTCATTACGAAGAAACCAGAGAGCGCGGCAGTGGCTTTTTAATGCATGTTTAAGGAGCTCCCCACGATCGTCGTCTGATGCGGATAATCAGTATGTACGTGCGTGCCTGCGTTCGTTCGTAGAGTGTTTGACTGCAGGATTGAAGGAAAAGCCAGTGTTTCTATAATGCATCTTTAAGTATGCTTCTATCACCAGGAGTGCAGTCAAGCTAAAAAAAAATAAATATATATAATAAAAGGGTGATGGTAGTGGGGGTGTCGGGGGGGGGGGGCTGCTCTTCGTGGGGGGGGGGGGGGGGGGGGGGGGGGGGCTGCTCTTCACCATGACTCTCGAGCTAACAAAGACCGGTCATCTATCCACATCACCATCCTCCATCTTTCTGGGCCCCGTATGCTAAGTGGCCTTTGTCTCCTGCTCTCTTTGCCTCCACTTCACGTACTGCTTTTCACCCTTTCTCCCCTCTTCTGCACCCTATCCGTATTCCGCAATCTCTGTCCCCGCTCCTCCCTTTCTGTCTCTCAATTTCTGACGCGTTACCCCTCCCGCACTTGCTCTCGCCGAGGCATTTTTTTTTTCACTGCCCCTTACATCCTCCCTCCCTCTCCCCGGCCTCTCTTTTTCATATTCTTCACCCCTTAGCGCTTACTACCCCCCCTCCCAAACACACCCACACCTACCACCGTCCTCCATTCTGCTCGTACGCCTCCCTCACTTACTCTGATAGTAATTGAGGTTCATTAATTCAGACTGAGGTGATGATGGCCATTATGTACCTTGCTTTCCAATTACGCTCTCTAGATTAAGCCTGACCTTCAGTTTTCTCTGCAGCGTGTGTATGCGGTGGTCTCGTCTCTCTTCTACTGAAGCTGTTACGTGCAGAAGACTCTTGTCATGTAAATCTCATCTTTAGCCTTCCACCCTTTCCTTAGGGTAGCTTGCTGCTTCGCGTCGATGGCCGCATTGGCTCTTGAAGCTGTGGAGATGGAGGCTTTCTATATGAAGAATGATTTTAAATAAAATTCATTATTCAGCTCGGTAAAGTTTTATTAAACCCCTGGGGCATGTAGAAGGGCGGTATTGGCGCTGAAGGGCAGAGTCACATATCTCAACCATGTACACTTATTACCAGGTTGATGATGCGCCTTGCTGCGAATAGCGCCATGCAGAAAGGGAAAAGATAAAACAATACATTTAAAGATTCACTCTTGAATGTTTCATGATATTAGGAAAGGGAGCGTAGCCTCGTTGTTTTTATCCGTCTTATAATTTGTCTGCTATTAAACCGTACAATTAAACATGTTTTATTCATAACGTTAGCTAAAGGAAAATGTTGTTACCCCCTTTTTTCTTTGACTTGCTAAAGCCATGCTATTTTTAAAAGAACATCTTCAAAAAGCAAAACATGACACATTTCCTGTCTTTCAGGTCACGCCGTCCTTGGAACGAGATAAGCCCCTGCTGGAAAATGAACTACCACCTGACCTGGGCATAGATGACACGATGACAGCTCAAAACATGAAAATTAGCCCGACAGGTCTTTCTCGTGCAACAGATTCCCTTAAATCAGATGAGCCACCAAAAAACAAAAGTAGGTTAAAGAAATGAACACTGTTTCATGTTGGCATTGTTTAGAAAAAAACAATTGCATTTATAATCATTGTTTATTTGGCAGGCATTTCAGGGGAGAACACAGAGGGAAATGTAGCCGCACCCAAAGATGTCACAGCTCTACTCACCCCACCCCTAGAAGACAACACCACTCACCCTTCCAATGGAAGACTGGCTCCTCAATCCCTGACTCACACACCTCCCTCTTCCCCAACTGCTGCCCCCTCTCCTCTTTCTGATCGCCATGGTTACCGGTTTCGTTGCAGCAGGTGCAGCTTGGCGTTCCCCACTCAGGAGAAGCTCCAGCTTCACTGGCAGTACCATGCCATGAGGGCGGCGACAGAATGCCCCCTCTGCTCCAGGCAATGTCGCAGTCAGGAGGCCCTGCAGAGGCACATGCAGAATACACACTCGCAGCCGGACAACACCCAGAACACAGGGTCGCTGCCTCATATGGTGCACTACGTTGAACACAGTCAGAGCTCAACAAAAGATTTAAACATGTCACCTCCAGTTGGCCAAGAAGCCGGTGAGGATGAAGAGCTCGAAGAAGAGGAATTGCAGGAAGAAGAAGAAGAAGAAGACAACACTGAGGGAAAGGAACATAAAGAGGAATGGAGAACTACAGACAAAGACCCGGCTACTGAAACTGGTGGAGGTGATGAGGAATTCACTGAGCCAGAAAAAGTGCTAAATGATGAAATCCCATCAGAACCTAGTTCCATTTCTCTTATGAAAAAGAGCTCTAACCCAACAATGGACCGCTATTTGGATCCATCAAGGCCGTACAAGTGTTCCATATGTTCTGAATCTTTTACCCAGAAGACAATTCTTCTGGTTCACTACAATTCAGTGTCTCATCTCCACCGGGCCAGACGAGCCCTGCAGGAATCGGGCACGGGGGTGTCTACCCCAGAAGCTCCCCGTGGCCAAGATCCTCGACCCTACCGATGCAAACTATGCGGTGTGGGCTACAGCCAGAGCTCCACATTGGACATACATCTACGCTCAGTTCTCCACCAAACAAGAGCTCGTGCTGCACAGAATCCTAGTACACAAACACCAGTGTCTAGTGTAGCTATGCCAGTATCTGCCACCACGTCTACTACTACTCTGTCTGCTATAACTGGTAAGGATACGTCGAAGAGCTTGCCTTTCGCCAAGAAGCCGGATGTAGATAGTTCTTCACCAGGATTAGTAGCTGAACTCCAGTCGACCGTATCAACTGAAGGTCAACAGGCTAAAAAGAGAGTGGCAGAACTGATCGCATCAAGAAACCAGTTGCTATTAATGCAACAACAGCAGTTGGCTCAGGCACAGGCCCAAGCCCAGTTACAACACACAGCATTGTTACAGGCCCAAGTAATGCAGCATCTACCTATCGGACCAGAGAGCCTCTTTCAGCACTTCTCTTTGGCACCGGAAAACTTACTGTCTCTGCAGCAGCAACTTCTTCTGCCCTTTTACTTTCCCGGAGACATGAAACTTAACACAGAGTTGGCAATAAAGAACTTGGAACAGACCCAATCTGAGGCAGCAAAGGGTAGACTGAGTGAACAGATTAAGGGAGAGGCTAAAAAAGAGGAAAACCCTCAAACCGATGAAAAACATACTCTGAATCGATTTTCATCCTCAGACGACATCCAAACAAAAGATGTGATGGCTTTTGACACCAGAGTTGAATGCGGCAGTGGATCCTCCAGCATCCCAAAAGAAAAAGAATGCATCGTAAGCCTAGTTGATGAAAAGGAAGAAGTGTGTTCTGCCATTGTTAAAAATGAGAGTCAAACACAGGAAAATGATTCATCCACAGTTGATGTCCCCAAATCACAGTGCCCTCCACCAAGGGTGCCATATGCTACTGTTAACGGGGAAGCTCTTAGGACCTTGCTGCAGAGTTATGGCTATGAGTTGGCATTACAATATATACAAAGTAGACATAGGCACCAGCAGCAGATTGCAAGCCAAATGATAGAGGTGAGAAACAAGTGCGCTGATATTCCCAAAATGGAATTTTATTCAGGGGCACAAAAAGGGTCAATTGGAACAGATAAAGGGAAGTTGCAAAACTGCGGTAGGAATGCCAAAAATGAAGCTGAAGACATGCAAAGTTTCCCAGGGGAACCGAATCAGGGCAGACATGATGATGCAGATGAACTTGCAAACAAAGAGAAAAGATGCTGTGGAAGAGGACAAAAGTGCAGAGATTGCGGCAAGTTTTTTTCAGATGCCATGATTTTAAAAAGTCACCAGGAATACATTCACAGACAAGTGCTTCCCACTGCTGCGCTAGAGAGGTTTTCCAGAGAATACAGACTACAATATGATCAATTGTACCCGTTGAAAGAGAAAAAATCTGCAGAGGATTCATCTCAGAGTACACCCGTTTCAATTCCAGCTACATCCATCGAATCAGAACTTGGATCTGAAGCCGAGAAGCCTCAAGTTAAAACATCACCTCTATCCTCGTTTTCAGATGCTGACACGAAAAAATGTGGTACAACTGAAGACCACGTATCCTTTACCTCCGTCCCGTCTCCTCCTCGTTCCTCTTCTCAAACCCAAGAGACGCCAGTTACGAGCACATCTACTGTTAGTTCTCAAAACACATCGCCAGCTAACGCCATGCCTATTCCCTTACCAAAAATACCATTGCTTCCTCTGTCGCAGCTTCCTATTCCCCCATTGGCTTTACCCAAGCTTCCACTACCCCCAATTCATTTTCCGATGGAGCTACCGCTCATTCCTCCAGTTGTGATGCAGCCTGTGGGTCTGCAGCCCCAAACCTGGTTAGACTCGAGTGTGAGCCCAGAGTTGACAAAACTGTACCAGTCTCAACTGCTTGCCCCACAAGCACCTATTAGTCCAACGGTGATTTCCCAACCATCTCAACTTAGCCCGGCATTGCTCGGCCAGCCTCCTCAAGTCAATTCTTCGTTGCTAGGTCAACCGGTTCAGAGTAGCTCAATTCCAGCAGGGCAGCAGCCCCAAGTAAGTCCAGCATTACTCGAACAACAGCAGGGCAAGAGAACCCGCACTCGAATCTCTGAAGACCAGCTGAATATTCTGAAAAAGCACTTTGATATCAACAGCCTCCCGAGCGATGAGGAGCTAAACAAGATATCCAGTCTGTCTGGTCTACCCCACAAAGTCATCAAGCACTGGTTTCGCAACACTCTTTTTAAAGAGCGGCAACGCGATAAGGACTCGCCATACAATTTCAATAACCCCCCAACCACAGCTCTTGAGGAGTCTAAAGAGGAGCTCTTGCAGAACCCGTCTCTGAAACTGGCCACATTGTCACCATCTCCAGCACCAACCGAAGTGTCCCATCAAACCCAGTTAACTGAAATCCAAAGAACCAATACCCACAGAGGGAGACGCTCATCTCGAACCCGCTTTACAGAAAAACAGCTGGAGATGCTGCAAGGCGTGTTTGAAGCAACACCCTATCCCAGAGAGGAGGAATATGACAGGCTGTCTGCACTGTTGTCTCTCCCGAACAGAGTCATTGTGGTATGGTTCCAAAATGCGAGGCAAAGAGCCCGCAAGAGCCAGGACAGAGGGGCAGATGATGGAGTAGAGGGGACGAGCCAACTCGACACATTTCGTAAAAGAGACGGATACTACAAGAGTGGTGATCCTGAGGGTATCAGCAATGGGGATGAAGGGCATAGTGACTCTCAAAATGAAAATTCGATGGATCTGACGTATGAGTATTATACCCATCCAGACTCACCAATCCTTGATTCTTCTAGTCTTTACACAGAAAGCGACCACCCAATGGGCAATGAGGAATTAACACCTGCTGTCAAGAAACAAGAAAACACAACTGCCTCTGCTCAGACTAGCAGAACAATTAAAAAAGAAATTGCAGAACTAAACACCGACCGCAAAGAAATAGTGCAGGTAAGGCAAAATGTGTCTGAAGCTGAGAATCTGGTCCGACCTCTGCAAGAAAGCTCAGCAGAAAGACTCCAGTCTCGCTCTTCTGACCCCTCAAAAAGCACAGTGCAGAACAACCCATCGGTGTCAGATGCAAGCCAGGATCACGTCAAGAGTTTATCCCCAAATAAAGCTGTCGAAAAATCTGCAGCTCCATCACCGAGCCTACCTTCATCTTCAGAGTCTGAAAATAACCATATTCGTCAGCCTGATGCCTCTCCCCGTGCATCTATCGAGAATCAGTCACTCAACCATCTCCCGATCCCAAACCCGTTTCAGTGCAATCTATGCCCGATGTCCCTGCCAACATTCCAAATGTGGCAGGACCATCAGACAAGGCATCTGCTTGCAGCTCAGTCCCAGGTCCAACTCCTTCATTCTGGCTTCACAGACAGAACGTTGCCATACATGATGCTCCACTCCAACCACTCACTCATGGCCAGCCAAATGCTTTCGGGCGCTATGACGCAGTTGCACCCTAGTGCCACAAGTCCCATGATTTCACACTTGAATAGCACACCAATTAAGAACTCACTTGCTGACCTGTCTCAGAGTTCCTTGAAGCAGAACCCAAAGCTAATGTCAGAGGGCAGTTTTGATGTTCAAAGGTATAGCAGAGATGCTGAAGAAGAGCAGAGAAGGGATAAGCGTCAGAGAACCACCATCACCCCAGAACAGCTTGAAGTGTTATATCAGCGCTACAGCTTAGACTCCAACCCCACCAGAGGAGTCCTAGAGGGCATTGCACAGGATGTGGGACTCACAAGAAGAGTGGTTCAGGTACCTTGAGCAAACATGTTATCGCAAAGAAAATACATTGTTTTGTTATTTTATGATATATATTTTTTTCATCTTAAACGTGCTATTGTTTCATTACACAGGTCTGGTTTCAAAACACTCGGGCAAGAGAAAGAAAAGGGCAGTTCAGGTCAATGGGCCCAGGGTCGAGTTTCAGCATGGGCTTGAACCACCTCCGCTGTCCATTTTGCAGGGCTCTCTTCAAGGTGAAGAGTGCTCTGGATGCCCACATGAGGTCGCGACACTGGGCAGAGGCTGAAAGAGCAGGCTACAATTTATCAATGAATAATGGTTCTCGTGGGCCCAATGGGATGGCCGTGTCTTCTCTCATGGACAAACCAGGCCCATCTGCCTCCTGTAACTTCCTCCCAAACACCGGCATTGCCATCCACAACAAAGAGCAAAGAGTGAAGTCAACTGGTACATTTCTTTCTTCAAACAATGATCCGAACAACCCAGGGGAGTATGATGACATGGAGGAAGACGATGATGAGTTCCAATGTGAAGAGGGTTCAAGTATGGCCGACCAAGGGTCTCCGAGTCCTGAGGGATCAGACTGGGGTGAGACCCTGCAGCCACACCACCATCAGCAGCAACGGCAAAGGACACAGATGAGCCACTTCCAAGTACTCCAGCTTAGAGACTTCTACAAGAACCATCGTACACCAAATCGACATGAGTGTGAGGCCCTCGGCCAGGAATTGGGACTGCCCCACCGTGTCGTGCAGGTAACTGTCTTAAATGGATGGAAGATAACAGAGGCTGAGTGTGAAACCCAAGATGTATACCTTCAACACTATTTCCAGGTCTGGTTCCAGAATGCCAGAGCCAAGGAGAAGAGGGCAAGGACTCTGAGCTCCGACTCTGCGGAAACGGAGCAGGCGGAGTTGAAAGCCGGCGCAGGGGAGAGAGACCGGGCTTAATGAAGGGTCCCTTTACATTCTTCTACTATGCCCTTAAGACTCGTTTTTCCTACCGTCAACTTCTTAAAACAAAACTTCACTTTGCTGCCAAGCCTGTTTCCTGAGCACCCCAAAGATGCAGAACCACCGTGGCCCAAAGAGAACCGTTTTCAACTGAAAGTCAACCCAAACCAAGCCCTCTTGGCAACAACTTTCCTCTTTTTTTCTATTGCTCTCTCTCGTATGCTGTCTGTCTTTCCTTGTTGCCCCTATTCCTGTTTGCGTCAGACACCTTTCTACAACCAAACCCGTCCTTGGAGAAAACAACAATGCCACATAGGCCAAAGAGCATTATTTAAGTCGGTGACCTTACTGCCTGGCTAGACCTGCAGTCTACCTCCCGGTCACCACGACAGACTCCACGTGGGCCCCTTCAACCAGACAGTGCTTGAGGACTAGCAGTGTAGCACGTGTTGTGGGTCCACGAAAAGTTGGAACAGGAACTTTTAAAGAGATTTTAGTGTAAATAGAGCACTCCAAAAGATAAACTTGAAGAAGGGGAAAAAAAAAACAAAACAAAGCAGTTAACGATGGAAGATGAGGAGGAAACCAAGTAATATCTCGATAAAGACGGTATTTCCATTGAGCTTTTGTCACGACTGACTCAGATTCCAAAGCTCGTAACCAAAATTTTCCATGTCTGTTGTTTCATCGTGTTTGTTGTCAGTAACAAACTGCAGAGCTTGACGTCTGTACAGAGAAGGGTGAGACCTGCGCTTGGCACAGGGAAAAAAAAAGTGTGGGGGGGGGGG